ACCCCATGTATCTGTGGTTCCCTGGCCAGTCCTGCCTCCTGGGAGCCTGCCTTCCCCACCATAGACCTTCTCTTCCATCTCAGTCTCCCCTCATACCTGGAGCACCTGCTGACCCCAGGGTGGCATGGACCTGGGCCAGGTCACTGCCCACTCCTTGCCAGCACACAGCTCTGTGAAACGTAGTGTCAGAAGTTATACGTCTCTGCCGAGCTGCTACTGCTGGACCAGTTGCCTTCACCCAATCACCCTTCAGGAGGGCAACTCCCATGAAACAAAGTCAGCAGGTTCCTGACAGGCCAAAGTTTTGCAGGGCTAAGAGGCAGGTGGCTCTGGGGAGGCCTGGGGCTGAGCCTGCAACTGCTGGGGATGGGGGAGCAATGTGCTGCTAGACCAGAAATGAAGAGCTGACAATCATTGACTGCTTCCTCCTCTGAGCATCTTATCTCTACTAGCTCCTTTATTAATCCCCACGGCACTCTATGAGTCAGATGGGGAAACTGAGGCATCCCATAAGCCAATTCCTTGCAATACATGTCCTACTTTAGATCTTCCACTGGTCCTGCTTCTCTTGGCTGAACCCTGGCTGACAGACCATATAACAGTGGTGGACACTACTGCCTACTCCATGGGAAGGTGGTGAAGACGAAATGAGTTGATATAAAAAAGTATCTACAGTGGTATCAGGTATAAAGTGAACTCCAGAAAACCATTTGTAGTACAAAAAGGCTACAGGACATTTTGGGCCTTTGGTGCCCACGGAGGACCCTGCCTAAGGCCCCTTCTGCTCAGAGTGAGGCAGAGGGGCTCTGTGTGTCCCACCAGTGCATGCAGCAGGCTGGCTCCTGGGGGACCAGAATGTGGCCACTGCCCTAGGGGTGAGGGCTTAGCCTGGTAGCACCTATCGACCCCCATCCTGCCAGATAGGGTGAACTGAGGAGCTTCCCACTACAGGACGCCCCCTGTGTGTCATTCCTCCAGGCTGCCTAGTGGCCCTGCAGCAGAGACAGTGAGGAGGCCATGGCCGCGCTGTCCTCCAGATGCACCTGCTCCCTGTTGCTCACCTGAAGCTCAGAGGCCATGGGTGGGGCCTCCACCACACATCATCAGTTCTCATCTCAGATGTCACTGCTTCAGAGAGACTTGCCTCACAGCTCCTCCTAAATAACAGCCTCCAGTCAGCAAAACCTAGCAAGCTCTTTTATCACTGTGAAAAATTTTATATTCACACATGAGTAGAATAAGATAATGACCCCACCCATGCCCAGAGTAGACAAAATAATGCCCCTCCCACTCTGTCCCCCAAAGATGTCCACATCCTAATTCCAGAACCAGAGAATGTGTTACTTGACATGGCAAAAGGGACTTTGCAAATGTGACTAAGGTTAAGGACTTTGAGATGGGGAGATTATTCTGGATTTTCCAGATGGGCCCAATCTAATCATATCAATCATTAAAAGCAGGGAGCCTTTTCTGGCTATAGTCAGACAAGGTGTGACAATGGAACAGGCATCAGAGATGCTAAACTTGTGGCTTTGGAGGTGGAGGAAGGCACCACAAGCCATGAAATACTCTCTTCATTGCAGTTCAGTGAGACCCACGTTGGACTTCTGACCTACAGAACTATAAGATAATAAATTGTGTGTTTTAAGCCACTGGGTTTATGGTAATGTGTCATAGCAGCAATAGACAACTAATTTCCCCTCTATACCCCCCTAAACCAGCTTCAGCAATGATCAATTCACAGCCAGCCTGAACCCCCCCACACACATATCTTCTCCTCTGGGTTATTTTGAAGCAATCCCAGGTATCATATGGAACTATTATCTGGAAATATTTCAATATATGTTTATAGAATATAAGGGTTTTTAAAACAGTACCACAATTAAGCTATCACACTTTTAAAATGAAACAGTAATTACTTAGTAATATAAAATATTTAGTCAGAGATATCTTTGATTGTCTCATAATTCTTACTTTACAGTTCATTTGTTTGAACAAAGACCCAGCTGATTGCTGCAGTGAGTGCTAATTGCTGAAGGCTCCCTGTTGCCCTTCTCTGCAACGTTATGGAACTCTTATCTGATTCCATCCCTCTCTGTGAGGCAACCCAATTCACATGCCTACCTGGTACAGCCTCTAGAAGTCCTCCTTCACCTCAACCTGAGAGCATCCGAATTGCTCTTTCTAGCCCAGTCCTGTCTTCTGAGCACCCATGTGTCTGACAGCCTTGGGAATGCTCCCTTAACTGTCACAAGGTACCAGAGACTCTGCACCTCTGTCTCAGATCAGGATTCCTGGACACCTCAAGGCATATGTAGTAGCAGCACTGGCTGTATCTGGAATTGGGAATAAAAGGATGAAAAACATAAAGAAAATTATTTCCTACCTAAAAGTCTATACCCAGCCAAACTATCCACCAGGTATGAGGGAAATAAAGACATTTTCCAGACATGTAAATTCTCAAAGAATTTGTCTTCCACTAATTCTTTTCATAAATTACTGGAGGATGTGTGTCACCATAATGAGGAAGAAAACCAAGAGGCACAGAGGATACAGAAGATCCTACAGCATAGGGAAGAAATGAAGGGAATTTCCAGGCCCTAGATACAGGCTGATTAGGAGAGACGGCGCTGTTCAGACTGAAGCAGGTCTAAGGGCTTGAGGGGATGTGTTACCAAGAAGTTGAAACTGAGAGAATATGAGGCATGTGAACATCCTGACGGGGTAGCCAGGCAGTCTGCTGAGAGTCTGAGGTTAACTTAGTAGTGAACATATACAAAAAACTAAACAGAACAGAAACCCAAGACCAAGTAACTCCAGGAAAGAAGGAATGTTGTGTAAGAAAGAAAAAATAAGCATAGTTTATTTAAAATAGTGTTTATATATCCATCATAATGACCTAGCCAAAGTTATGCTCTAAATGTAGTGGAAGATTGGGAGCACATAGTGGGTGTGGGGGGACAGGGAAAAAATGTGGTTAAATCTTCATCTTACATAATAATAACTTAAAGCTGATAGTCAAGTAGCATGGTGAATATGTTATTTAGAGATATGGAAGAAATTAGTGAGAATGTGTCATATCTTGATCTGGGTGATGGTCACATGAGTGTGTACACATGTCAAAATTCTTTGAGCTGTACACTGAGGTTTGTGCATTTTATTGTAAGCATCTCAATAAAAAAACATCTGTTCATGTAAAAATGGTGGTTGTATTATATGTAAATTATTCCTCAAGAAGTTGATTTGAAAATAAAAATATGAAAAAAAAGAGATGGAGGTAAATGTTATAAGAATAAGTCAAAACATCTCACAACCTGGAGGAGAATGCTATTTCTCCTAAAAAGTCTTGCAGAACTATTTGACTAAATGTATATACATAAGGCTCTGACTGAAATTTTTAATAGTAAAGAAAGAAGAAGAGAAGATGAATAGAATCTTTTTGATTAACAACTTGGCAACATCTAAGAGAGTTGAAATTGTAATGCCCTTCCACCTGGCAATTCTGTTCCCTTAGTATTACTTCAGATGAGGATGTTCATTGCAGTATTATTTATAACATGGAAAAAGCATAAGGAAAAGAATAGGTCAAAATATCTTCAAATTTATCTGTACTATTTTGTTTTTGTTTTTTTAAAATCTGAAGGAAATATAGTAATATGTTCCTTGCAGGGAGTTATTAGATTGCTCTATTTTTCTGTATTTTTAAAATCTTTAAAAACTAAAACAGGATGGGGGAAAGTTTTAGCACAGGTTAAATCAACAAACTGACCACCACACCCAGTGCGGGTACTAGGAATATGGAGCTATTTAAATGGAGATTATGACCTCAAGGGACTCAAAATTTGGTGACTCTCAGCCATCTCAGCCACAACAATTTCATGAATTTCTTGGCGCCACAGAAAGAACAATGACTTTGTAGTCAAGCAAGACTGAGTTCTAATTCTAACACTGTCATTTACCAGCTGTGTCATTTTTTGATAAGACAATTCATTGCTCTGCGCTTCAGTTTCCAACTCTATAAAATAGGATGGATAATAATAATTTGCAGAGAAACTGCATAAGGCAAACCATAATACCGAGTATCTGATACATAGTAGGTTCTTAATAAATAGCAGTGGTTATTCTGAATAGATCTTGTGATGTCTGTACATGGTGGTGATCAGGGCACCAACGACGGGTCCCCGTTCCCCATCCCCGTCATCGCCCATCACTCTCTCCCTTGAACTTCAGCCTGGAGCCCTCAGGATGACTTGCAGCTCCTTGGTCATGGTGTGGCAGACACTGTTGGTTGCCTACTACATTTGTTTTCTCTTGCTACTGTGACAAATTACCACAAACTTAGTGGCTTAAAGCAACAGATCTATTCTCCTACAGTTTTGGAGGTCAGAAACCTAAAATCACTTTCACCTGGCTTAAGTAGGGTGCTACCCTCTGGAGGCTCTGAGAGGAAAATCTATCCTTGCCTTTTTTACCTTCTAGTGACCACCTCTATTCTTTGGCTTGGGACCCCTTCCCTCTTCAAAACTCATTACTCCAGTCTCTGCTTCTGTCATGACATTGCCCCCTCCTCTGACCCTGACCCTCCTGTATCCCTTCTACAGGGCCCATGTGATACACTGGGTGCTATGATTGCATCAAGCCCACCCAGATAATTCAGGATAATCTCCCCAACTCAAGATCCTTAACTTCATCCCATCTACAAAGTCCTATTGGCTATGAGTTGATGCTCATGGGATTAGGACATAGATATGTTTAGGAGGCCATTATTCTGCCTACCACACCTACCTACTGTCATTCTCCTTTGTTTTTCTAACCAGATCCCAATTTTGCCTGTGTATTGGGAAGCCATGTACTTAAGAGGGGGTGGTCATCCCTCCCGCCCCAAAAGGTGAATCTTTGATCAGTGTAGTCTACATTAATCCTGATAATAGTTCCATTCTGTGGCAGAGACTGTTCATTTTTCCTTAATGTATCCATTTCCTTCTTCTTCCCATAGCAACCAAACTGTCCAGCATACAGCCAACATTGCTTCAGCCTCCTTCTCACGTGGGGGCGGACATGTGATTACATTAACCAATGGAAATGAGCAAAAGTTACCTCTGAACTCCCGAGGCATGCCTTTAAGGGAAAGTGGAGTGTCTCCAGTACCTCCTCCCTTTCCAACTGGCTGAAAGGAAGACACGATGGGAGAAGTTGGCAAAGCGAACTTCAGTGATCCAAGATGGAAGCCACAGGCTAAAGACAGCAGAGACCTAAGATAGAAAGAACCGGGGTCTGTTCAATGTGGACACACAAATCAGCCTAGGACTACCTCCCTGGACTTGTCCTTGAGAGAGAAATAAGTGCCTCCCTTGTTTAAGTCACTGCTACTTCTGGAAATTTGTTACAGCCGCTAAATCTGAGTCCTGTATTGATGAGGACATGGGAGATCTCCTGGGGTGCTTTTGGAAAATGTTTTTCTTTTTCTAAAGGTGCATAAGGAAGGGACTCTGCCTCCATCTGGTTTTCAGACATTGCTGTGCAAAGATATGACTCCTGGGTCTGATGAGGCCGTCTTCTGACCTTGAAGAGCCAATCATGGAACGGTCAGAAGCTAACCTGTCAAGGCTGGCGAGGGGGAAGGGGGGCAGCCCAGGGGTCCTGGAGGATGTCTCTGAGCCACTGTATAAAACAACCCAAGAATGTCTATCTCTAAACTCCCTATTCATGAAACAATAACTGTCTTGGATGTTCAAGCCACCAATACCCATGTCTTCTGTTACTGGAAGCCAAAGAAATTCTGACTATTTGGGGAGTTTCCTCAGCAGCCCAGGGCCCTCAACAAAGCTATCCTGGGCTCCATTCAGGACTTTGGGTTCTTCCTGCCTCTGTGCAAGATATTATGGCTCTTTTAGGACCCCCAGCTGTCGTCATCTCTCTCTCTAGCCAGGCCTGCTGAGGGCTGTGGAAGCTCCACACCTCCCAACATCAGGATTTACCAGGCATCTACCAGTCTATTAAGCTGTATGTGAGCTATTAAATTCCCTGAGTCTCTCTTCCCTTATTGGCAAATAGGCTAATATATGTATCAGTCCCTTTTACAAGATCTTTTTGTGAATCAAATCAGATAATGGATTATTTGTGAAGTTTGTTGCATGTCCATTTATCCTACTAGAAAGTGAATTCTTGAGGCCAAATGAACGACCACAGTATTTATATAATCCCCAAATCTATGAGAGGGTCTGACACCAACCAGATATTCAGCAAATTGTTACAGGTGAAATTTAGACATAACCAATAGAGGCACGGCAGTTCTCTGAAGGCACAGTAATTGGTTCAAGGTTGGCTAAAGCAAAGCCAATCAGGCCAAACAAAGTGAATCTCAGGACTTTTGCTAGGCAGCTGGAAATAAGATTCACATTCCCAGTCAGCTCTTCAACGGTGGAGGGTGTTGATCCAGAGCTGTTGCAGCTAACCTACTGCTCAAGAGGAAAGACTACTTGAGAGTGGAATATCAGCAAGAAAACAAATAGGGTCTCGATGACATAACTTAAGCCCCTGGGTCAAGCCATACCTAAAGACCACTCTTATATTTTTCATTTACATAAAGCAACATCTCATCCTCCTTCTCTTTTCTTAAGAAGGGTTAGGATTCTCAAGCCCTATGATGAATAACAGAAGGGCACTTGGTAAATGGGTAAACCTTACATGTATATGAAATCATTCCTGTTGGTGGATTGGTAAAACTGCAGATGGCTAGTCCTGGTTTTGCTTGGCCTGGAAATAGTTCAGTAGATGGTCACCTTTGCTTTGGGAACTAAAAGGTAATCATATGGTTTCCACATTTCAAAAATGGTCTCGAGCTCCTCCAAAATAATTTGCAAGTGTTTATACCCAACCAAAATTTTGCTGTTCAATGTCCATTCTACTCTTCTAAGTAATCCTCACTAGAAAAATCTTAATTAGGTGCTGACATATCCTTAAGTCTTCTCTTCAATGGCTGATAGCCTTCTCTTTCCAACCAGAGGGTGCCTTTTTTGGTGTAATGCAGTCCAAAGACTGCCCAACAAGGGTGGTCAGGAGAATAGAGTTGGCTGGAATAGACTAGCACCAAGGAGCAAAGAAACCACTAGTTTGGATAGCAAATATTTTAGTTAGTTTGGTCTACACCCTTGAGTGCCTCAGGACTCCTCGGTGGTTCAAAATACTCTCATAGGTTGGGTCCCCAGGGGACAGACTCAAGAGGTTTATTGGGGAGCCCTCCACCTCAGCACCTGTGAGGGAGCAAGGGAAGCAGGGTGGGGCAGCAAGAAGTCAGTCTGCAATGCAGCCCCCACAGAGACTCAGCTGCAGCCACTGGGGCTCTGGGCTCAAACTGCCCTCAGAGTTGCCCCAAGCTGGGGCAAGACAGGCAGCCTTTAGACTTCTACACTGCCTTGTCATCAAGCACACTCACAGGCTGTCCCCAGGAGGGGGTCTGGCCTTGGGAGAGGCAGCTCTGTTTAGCTCCAAGGGGTTTCTGGGGAAGGACGCAGCCGGGAGGCATCAGCGGCCAGCCCTCCCAGCAGCTGTGGGATGTGCCGGGCATCTATGAGCCCCGGCGCAGGGTCCACTGTGCTCCGACTCCGAGAAATCCCTTCCCAGGAAGTGGGAGTGTCCCTGCTCCTCTCTCCGTCCTTGGCTCCGTTTCCGCAGAGGGTCCTGGCTTTTGCTTTGGGAGTCCACAAAACTGTCTAGATCATCCCCCAATCCCTGGAGCATGGGGGCCTATGAACCGTGGACAAAGGGTCAAGCCTCAATGCCCCCTGGCCAGCTCCTCACAGTGGTCCTCAGCAAGAGGTGCATAGGCTGGCGGGGTTGCCTCTCTCTCCTTTGGCCAGCCAGTGGACCCCCCACTCTCTCCTCTCAGACTGGCCTCAAAGCCTCTTCCTCGGCACCCACTCTCTGCCATGTCTGCTCCAATGACATTGAGCTTCACTGCATGCACCCGTGGGTCTTCTCCTCAGCATGCCCCCTGGTGGGACACTGCCCAGGGGGTGATGGGGGGGTCTCTTCCCAAGTGGAACTTTTGGGACATCTCACTTGAAAGCCAAAAAGAGCCCTTGGTATGCCATGGTGGCTTCTTTGAAGCCCACACGTCCTGGCTCCTCTGTGGACATCCCAGCTCCCCTTTCCGACCAGAGCCCAGTGGGACCCTGTGCCCTGCAGGGGACGGTGTGCAAGGCCTGGAGAGAGGGGAGCGTGCCCTGAGGCGGACAAGTTCCTGGGAGGCGCTGTTGGTTGTGTTTCATTCTCAGACTTCCTCCGGCCTCTGTGGGAGGCTTGGCCATGCCAGCCGACACGTGTGGCACCGGGCTGGGTTGCAAAATATATCCGGCATGGCAGTTGGTAAGAGTTATGCAATCTCCACCAACTTACGGAAACCACCGTGAGATGTGCCCTGGAAGGAGAGGTGCCTGGCTTTGCCATGCTGGCCACAGCCTTGGGTTCTGTGTGGGCGGTGTGAAGAGTGGCCCAGGCTGTGGGGTGTCAAGAGCTGTGACATATCTTCCCTGAAGTCACTCTGGGAGCACTTGACCCACAAGAGCCAGCACCTCACTTCTCTGAGGGGCTCCTGGGCTACTCTCTCCTTCATATTCCACAAGCTCCAGGAAGCAGCCTCATTTGCTTGCCAGCTGCCCCTCAGTCTCCCAGATCCTCCATAGGAGGTCCCACCTTAGAGAGGGACGGGACCAAACTAGGGAGGGGATCTGGAGGGGACAACTGGAATGGGGTGGAAGCTGGGGACCCCATCCTGTAAGGAGTTGAAGTGGCTTAGCCTGGAGAAGGGGATCCTTTAAATCTCTGCAGGGCTGTCCCACATTTAACCTTGTCCCCAAATTATCAGGACTTTGGCCTCTGTGGCTGGGAGGTGCCCACTGAGCCCCTGGAATGCTGTGTCTATAGATGTGTCTTTGTCTGCCTGAGGAGCACCTAACATGATTCAGTGGCGGGAGGCTGTCTTCCCCTCAGGGGAGGGCTGGCGGTACTGGAAAGAAGGCAGTATGATTAAGGCTGGAGCTTTGGGTCAGCAATGTCCGTCAGTCTGGAGACGGGGATCAACCTCGTGGGCAATCCATCGATCGGATTGTAGGGGAGCCTCAGTAAGCCCTCTGGACCCCGGGGTTCGTATGAGCTTCCCAGGTTGGCAGTATTCCATGTGCACCATCACACATCAATGCCAGGAAAGTAACCCATCCTGATGCCACAGGGAAGACCTATGGCAACCACACTTTGTTTCTTTCCCTGGACTGTGCCCTCTGCACCTTATCCTTGGACTGATCTTAATCTGTATCCTCTCCTTGTCATAAAGCATAGCAGCTTGCATAGAAGTCTTTCTAAGGAGTTATCATAACTGAGGGTGACCTAGAGGGTTCCCAGACTTGCAGCTGGCGTCAGGACTGAGGGCGAGGGGTTCCTCTGACTTTGACCTTGGCCTAAACCGCACCAATACTTCCCAAGGTTGGTGTTCATTTCAAGATTTGTTCTGACCCCAAGTGGGCTCCTCACAGCTCTATCCCAGATTCTCTCCAGCAAACTAGCCAGATGTCAAACTAGCCTTAGCCTATGTCACCAATGAATCTATAAGCTCCCCATAATTGCCTGTCACCAGTATTTCCCCTGGTTTTGAGAGTCCTCTTAGGCTGCGTTTCTCCAATACTGTTGCACATTAAGTCAGTTCCTTTGGAGTTTTCTGTTTTATGATCTGCTTTTCTCTATCTGGGAAAAGTTTCCAAGCCATGCTTACAGTGCTTGGGGTTGGGGACAAGAGCATACTTTTCTCTTGAGTGACACCCCAGTTTCAGGAGTTGAGCACTCGGCGGAGGCAAGTGGCAGCAGACGCAGGTCTCCGTAGCTTGCTTCTCCCGGTCTGGATTCCCCATCCCACAAGTGAGGGAACTGGTGGTAGGGCCCTACACCCCAGATAGTCTTTGTCCCACAAGGGGAGGCTGATAGAAGAAGAAAGCCCCACTTCTCAGCTGCACTTGTCCAGAATTGAGCCTCACCCTTGGTGTCTGGGCACAGGACAAGCAAATCTGAAGCCCTCCCAAGGAAGATGCCCCTTGACCTGGGAGCTGGGAGCTGTGGGAGCCCTGTGTCCTTGGCTAGGGTGACCTGGTGGTGAGGTTCTGTCTCACTGAGCTAGGAGGCAGGGGGAGAAAAGTGGGTCCTAGGGCATGTACCAGACCACTATTGATTTTTAGTAGGTTTTCTTTTAAAAATTATTTCTTCATGTGCTGTATGCCCTTAAGATCAATCCCAGAGACTTTAAATGGTTATATTTTAAATCACTTTTACCACTTTTGCTGGGGGTGGGTCTTCGGAGTACCTCAGGCTGTCATGTAAGAAGTGGAGACTTGAGGCTCACTATTAGGTCCAGCATGCAGCTGAGGTCTGAACCTGGGGAGTTAATTAAGGTTGCTTCTCCTTAGCAGTCTCTGGACTCCAATTTTTATCTCCCCAAGCCTCAGAGTCTGTCAGGAGATCATTTCCTTCTTAACTTCTCAGCCTTTCAGAATCAGGTATTGCCCTGAGAAGGAAATGGTGCTGACTGCCAGATACACTTCCCTGAGTGTCCCCTCTCCCCCATATCTTAGCCCTGCAGTCCCTTATTGCCACAGTAGATCTTCAAAGAGATGGTTTTTAAATAGTGAGTCCATGTTTTCTAATTATTCTCAGAAGAAGGGTTAGTCTGGAACAATATAATCTACCATGGATGGAAGTTCGAACTATAGCGCTCAACAGTGAAGATGGAGAGGAAGATGCACGTGGGAGCATCACTGAGGATACAGGATCAATAAACCTGCTGACTGATGGGTTGGATACAAGGTGGTAGAGATCAGGACAAAGTGCTGGGGCCTCCAGATCTAACCATATCGTATTTGGTGGGCTCCTTCACAGAGACAGAGATCCAGGAAATGTGCCACATGCTGCAAGGGGGAGGGAACGAGTTCAACACTGGATATTCTGAATGTAAGATGTCCGTCTGACGTTCTAAGGTCCAGGAGGCAAGGTGATAATTGAGATCTGAAGGTCAAGAGAGAAGCCCAGTGGGGACAGAGAGATTTGAAAGTTCTCAACCAAGAGGTGAGGACTGAAACCATGGGACTACAGAAGAGAAGAGGAACTTAGGAAGACCCTGGGAGGACATTGACTTTTTGGTGATGGAAGGGGCAGTTTGCCTCAGAGAAGGAACAGCCAGAAAATCAGGAGAAGTTTACGAGAGTCCCAGGGATAGAAGCAATCAGAAGAGAAGGGAGGGACCCACACATCACGGGCTTCAGATGGTCTGAGCAAATAAGAGCACTTTCTGGAGAAGCCTGTGACAGTGCTGGCAGAAGCCAGAGTGCCCAGGCTCCGAGTGAGCACGTGGTAAGGAAGTGGAAGACAGGAGTGTAGACAATTCTTTTCAAAAGTTCCTAAGAGGTGTCTGTTGGAGATCTGTATTACACTGGGTCCACCTACTTTAGGAAGTGTGTGCAGCATCCTGCAGTCCACACTGGTGGGCTTTCCCACCTCCCATTGCTCTACTAGGTCCTGCAGGGAATTCTCATGGTGATGGTCTCATTGTTGAATCCAATAATTTCTCCTTTCCCCTCAATGTATCTGTCCATTTAGCAGCATCAAACACCATTAACCACCCATCTCTACTCTGGGCCAAGATAACATCTGTGATGGTTTTAAAGTATGAAGACACATTCTCTCCCTATGATCCTTTCCACATAAGTGTGGGCAAGCTGCTAATCAGTTCTATTAATAGAGTATGGTGGAAACGATGCTATGTAACCTTTAAAACTCGGTCATAAATGGTCAAACAGCGTTCTGTCTTCCTGCTGGAATGCTTGATCCCAGAGCCGAGCCACCGTGTAAGAAGTCCAATCATCCTGAGAGGTCCACTAACTGACATTCCAGAAAGACCGTATTTAGATGCTCTAGTAGCCAATCATACCTGAACCCATCTTTCAGTCTGCCCAGCCCAGGTGCAAGACACATGAATGAAAAAGCCAGCTTGGAAATGGAGCCCCCAACCCCAGCTATTCCACCCCTCCAGCTGTCAGTGACCCCCAACCATTCAAGTCACGCCTGTTGAGGGCCCAGGTATCCAGGAGCAGAAAACACCTACTGTGCCTTTTCCAAAAGCAAATGTATTACCTACAGTCTGAGCATAATAGAACGGTTGTTTTACATCACTATCTTTTGGGATGATTTTTACACAGCACTAGATAAGTGGAACACCATTTTGTCCTTCTATTCAGACCATTCTTTTCCTCCGAATCCTACAGAGCTATACAGTTTGTGTTTCCGCCAGCCAGAGTGGGAAGTTCTCCAAACTCTGTAATGGAGCCAAATTAGCCTTAGCCCAAAGGCTGTTCTGGACCTAACAAAGATTAAAAGTAGGCTTCAAAAGAGCCAAATTTTATCACAGAACAAAGCCCCCAAAATATGTACGAAATACAAAACAAGCAAACAAAAATCCAGCACCCAAGAACACAACATTTACAGTGTCTGACATCTAATAAAAAATTACCAGGCATGCAAAGAAGAAGGAAAATGCAAGGAGAAAAACTTATTAGTAGAAATAGACTCAGAGAAAACACAGATGACAGAATGATGACAGTGGCATTAAGACAACTCTTATAAATTCACTCAATATATTTAAGAAGGGAGAGGAAAATGAGCATCAAGAAGATAGAAACCGAAGATATAAAAAAGACCAAAATCAGACCTCTATAAATGAAAAATACCCTGGACTGGATTAACAGCATGTCAGAAGTGCAGAAGAGAAAGAAGGCAGGAAAAGAAAGAAAGTGAGCAAAGAACAGAGGGGACAGGTAAAAGTCAACTAAAATATGTTAGATTTAAATTCAGCCATACCAGTAAGCACATTAAATGTAAATGGTCTAACATTATAATTAAAAAGCAAAGATTGTTGGATTGTATAAAAAAGCAAGGCCTATGTTGTCCAGAAGAAACCCATTTTAAATATAAAGGCTACACGTAGATGAAATATGAAAGAATGGAAAAATATTTTTATCATGCAGCTACTTTAAAAAAAAAGCTTGGTGGCTAGACTAATATCACACAAAGTGGATTTTAGAATGAGAACTATTACCAGGAATAAAAAGGAGCATTTCATAATGATAAAGGAGTTAATTGATCAAGAAAACATAAAAATCCTAAGTGTTAATGCACCTGATATCACAGCTGCAAATATATAAAGTAAAACTGATATGTGCTGGAGGAGAAATAGACAAACCCATGATTATGGCTGGAGATTTCAACATACCTCTCTCAATAACTGGCAGAACAAAGTAGACAGTAACAATAGAGAGCAGGGATCAGCTAAGAGATTAGCCTTGTTTTTAAATAAAGTTTCAATAGAATACATCTACACGTCTATTTGCATATTGCTGACGTCGGCTTTCATATTACAATGGTGGAGTGGAGTAGTTGCAACAGAGATAATATGGCCTGCAAGGCCAAAAACATTACTATCTGTTTTTTTACAGAAAAAGTTTGCCACCCCAGATTTAGAAGACTTGAACAACATTACACACTTGTCCTAATTAATGTTTATGAAACATTCCACCCAACACCTGAAAACATTTTTTTCAAGTACACCTGAAACATTTACAAAAACAGATAGTATTTTGCATGAAAATACATCCTCATACGTTTAAAAAGATTCATATATTTTCTGTGACCACAATAGAATTAAATTAGAAGTCATAACTAACAACATACTTCTAAATTACCCAGGTATCAAAGAAAAAAATAACAAAGGAAATTAGAAAATAGTTGAAAAACAGAAAGGAAAATACATTTTGAAATGTGAGACATGAAGATCAAATAAGACTTTACTAGGCTGTCCATATATTTTAATTCAGAGACACTATGCTCAAGGAGCCACCACCAAATACTATAGAAATCTGACCCCACAGGGGTCAAGCCATCCTGATTATTGTTCTGGGCCAGATGCCCACTTTATCTCTGGTGGTTAGGTGCCACCACCCATACTCTTCTGCTTCCTTGAATCAGTTAACTTCCCCAAAACTTAGTGGCTTCAACACTAACCTTTCATTTTGTGCATGAGTCTGTGTGTCAGCTGCAAAGTTCCTGTGGTCTGGGTGGGCCTGCTGAGCGTCTTCATGTGTCTGTAGTCAGCTGGTAGCTGGATGACCAAGGACAGCTCCACTCACAGATCTGGCAATTGGTTGGCTATTGGCCAGAGTGACAGTGACAAGTGGTTCTCATGTCTCCCATCATCCAGCAGGCTAGCTGGACTTCTTCGCCAGAGGCTGGGCTCCAAAGCAGAAGGAAAGGGCGAACAAGCCCCAGTGTACAAGCGTTTTTCAAGCTTTGGCTTGAAACACCCTAATTGCTGTTCCATTGTCCAAATCGGGTCACACATTTGCACCCAGATACAAACTCCAGCTGAGAAATGCTGCAGAGTGCTGTGGATACAATGAGGGGAAGAATCTGTGGTCATTTCTACAACCTATTCAGGGAGCTCTTGCCAATAGGGACATCGTCCACTGTCATTGCTGGCCTGCAAAAGAGAGTCATGACACAGCCTTTCAAAATTTCAGTGTTCCCTCCACCTATGGACTCTGGTCAAGAAATGCCCTCCAGATCCCCCCTGCCAGGGGTGATTGTTAGGGGATCGATGATATTTGCTCATATCTCAGTTGTTTCCATAGCTCTAGCTGCAAAGGAGTCTGGGAGAGGTTTTGTTTGTTTGCTTCCCAACCTCCGCAGTACAGGGGGGATGCCAGAAGGTGGTGATGCAGATGTTGAGCATCATTCCATCATATCTCCTGCTGAGGGGCTTCATGAGGAGGGGCATTCTCTCAAAAGGGTGAGCCCTGAAGCACTAGGAAAAGAGACTGAGGCAGGAGCTCCCCTATGCCAGCTCCTACTGCTAGGCCCCGACTTCCAGCTCTTTTAAGCCACATGCACAGGGGCCTCCCGCCTACTGACTCAGGCCAGCCATAGGTAGATATCAGTCCTAACAGGAGCAAGGCAGCCCCCAGGCCTTGGTCAGACCCCTACTAGCAAACTCTCCCCAGGCTCAGAGCCTACGATAATCAACGATAATCACCTTGGTCACCAGCCCTACTGTGTGCCTGGGACTGTGCTCTTCACTTTACAGACATCATGTCACTCAGTACTTAAAACCACGCTGGGTGGGAAGAGCACTCCATTTTATTGCAGGTAAAACCAAAGCTCAGAGAGGTGAAGCCATTCCCTCAAGGTCACCCACAACTGAGTGACTGAGCTGGGACTTGAACCCAGATCTAAGTGACAGCAAATCCTTCCCACTGGGTTGAAGAGCTATCCAGCCTCTCATTTTCTGGCCTCCAAGGTCCCTAGACCCCAGGACCAGGATGCCAAGGAGGACCACTCTGCTCCACAGTCTCAGTGCCCAAGCCATGGATGCCCCAGGTTCTGTCCCCAGCCCTCCGCAGAAGCCCTGCTAAACCCCCTTGGTCACCCACAAACACGTCATTTTGTGAGAGGGACACAATCTTCCCTCCAACTTCCTGGAGGAAAAACGAATGTGTAATTGTTGGAAATATGGCCAGATGTCCCTGGCATCATCTGTTAAATGGGGGAGACATTGCCTTAGTTTTATCTCCCCTTCTATGGAGAAGACACTTTTCCTAAGGAGAGTCCCCTAGAATGTACTGGGGGGTTGACATCACCCATCACACAAGCACCAAGAGTAATTCATGTGACCCATGCCTGGTCAGTCAGTCTCCAGGAGTGGTTCTGGAATGGGCATATGACCCAGTCTGAGCCAATGGTCAGTCAGCCTTGTTTTTTGTTTTTTGGAACTAATGGGAAAGGGAAGTTCTCATTCCACTGGGACTGTTGAGCTAATTAATGATAAGCCTGAAGCTGCTGGAGCTATCTGGCCAGCACAAGGAGAAAGCCTCCAGAGAAAGAAGTCAACATGGAGGACCTGGAGCCAGCCATTCCTGAAGCTACAAGCTCTTAAAAAAAAAGCTTGGTGGCTAGACTAATATCACACAAAGTGGATTTTAGAATGAGAACTATTACCAGGAATAAAAAGGAGCATTTCATAATGATAAAGGAGTTAATTGATCAAGAAAACATAAAAATCCTAAGTGTTAATGCACCTGATATCACAGCTGCAAATATATAAAGTAAAACTGATATGTGCTGGAGGAGAAATAGACAAACCCATGATTATGGCTGGAGATTTCAACATACCTCTCTCAATAACTGGCAGAACAAAGTAGACAGTAACAATAGAGAGCAGGGATCAGCTAAGAGATTAGCCTTGTTTTTAAATAAAGTTTCAATAGAATACATCTACACGTCTATTTGCATATTGCTGACGTCGGCTTTCATATTACAATGGTGGAGTGGAGTAGTTGCAACAGAGATAATATGGCCTGCAAGGCCAAAAACATTACTATCTGTTTTTTTACAGAAAAAGTTTGCCACCCCAGATTTAGAAGACTTGAACAACATTACACACTTGTCCTAATTAATGTTTATGAAACATTCCACCCAACACCTGAAAACATTTTTTTCAAGTACACCTGAAACATTTACAAAAACAGATAGTATTTTGCATGAAAATACATCCTCATACGTTTAAAAAGATTCATATATTTTCTGTGACCACAATAGAATTAAATTAGAAGTCATAACTAACAACATACTTCTAAATTACCCAGGTATCAAAGAAAAAAATAACAAAGGAAATTAGAAAATAGTTGAAAAACAGAAAGGAAAATACATTTTGAAATGTGAGACATGAAGATCAAATAAGACTTTACTAGGCTGTCCATATATTTTAATTCAGAGACACTATGCTCAAGGAGCCACCACCAAATACTATAGAAATCTGACCCCACAGGGGTCAAGCCATCCTGATTATTGTTCTGGGCCAGATGCCCACTTTATCTCTGGTGGTTAGGTGCCACCACCCATACTCTTCTGCTTCCTTGAATCAGTTAACTTCCCCAAAACTTAGTGGCTTCAACACTAACCTTTCATTTTGTGCATGAGTCTGTGTGTCAGCTGCAAAGTTCCTGTGGTCTGGGTGGGCCTGCTGAGCGTCTTCATGTGTCTGTAGTCAGCTGGTAGCTGGATGACCAAGGACAGCTCCACTCACAGATCTTTTTCTGTCACATGCAATGAAATGATCCTGTTGAAACAATAAACCTTGACCGTCAAGTTTCCATTTGCTTCAGAAGGCATAAATTTTGCCCCTTTCTCATCAAGAAAGAAAACAGAATTCTCCAGACACCAAACCATCATTTCAGTCATTCTGGTGATTCTGGTGCCTTCCCAGGACCTGGGCCAACATTCTCCTGATCTGAAAACCTCCCCCCGACACACACACACACACACACACACATGCACACACACAAATTGCAGTTCCCCAGCAGGCAATGCCAGTCCCTCCCTCCTGCCCAAAGGCCCCTGCAGCCTTCCTTGGTACCCACAGTCTAGCCTACTGGTCTCTCTCCCTTCCATGAAGGCCAAGGTTCCCCCACAGAGGGTATGGGCCTGAGCAGAAATAGCCTTAGGCTGATGGTCACCAAACTGTGAACCACCAGTCCACCTGTCAGTGAAAACTCTTCAGCAAGCATCCCAATATCCATATATTTATTTTACATACTTTGTGACACTATTTGCATTCTATGTACCAATAAAGCTTCACTCATAAGTTTTCATAGATGAACATTTAAACAGAAATTCTCCAGTGCTCTTCCCTGGTCTTTCCCGCCCTCTTTGGAGACCTCAGGGTCTGGTGGGGGTGGGGGCAGGTGGAGCCCCAGCCTGGACTCTCCTTCCTGCCACCCCCAAGCTGTTTTCCAGACTTTCAATATCATGAGTGAGAGGAGGAGCTCTGCCTGGGGAGGCCTGGCTGAATCACCCCGTGGAAATATTGGCGCCCTGGGCCGGGGGCGGGGTAGGCCTGGTTTCCAGGAAGGGCTTGGGCAGGAAGCCAGGCAGGAAGGGGCTGGGAGTTTCTGGAAGGGCAGCCTGGAGAGACCCGTGGGCCTCACTGCCCAGAGCAGCTGGCCATCCCTCTTAGAGACGGGGGATCCTTGGCGCTTCCTGGCACATGCCAGGGCATAGGCAGGCCAGGAACAGGGATGGAGGCAGTAGGCTGCTCCTTAGCAGGCCTTCCGAGGGGTGGCCTCTGGCTGGGGGAGGGACCGTCCCACAGCTTGAGCTGTGCTTGCAGCCAGGAGGGTACATGGTGTAGGAGGGGACAGACAGGAGGACCAAAGAGGCTTTCATTGGTCGGGTGGGGAGGTTGGGGTCAGGTTGGAAAGATTCCCAAGGCAGAGAATCCCACTGACGGGAGGAAGGGGGCTGGCAGCGGCTCTGTGACACTTCTGTGGCCCCCCATGACGTAAGTCAGAAAGGCTCCACCCTACATGAGCAAAGTCTCAGGACAGAAACCCAAAGAGTGGTGTGAACACTATACACATCGTTTCTCTCTCGTGGCTAGTCTGGGCATGAGGCCTTCGGAGTTGGTAGAGCAACTCCACAGGGTTGGAGACCTGGGCTCTCTTCCCTTTTGTGCCGCCATCCCTGCCTGAGCCAGGAGAGCCATCCCCGCTGTGGCCATCAGGTAGCGGGATGGAGGTGGGACAGACAATGGCTCTGAACCTCTCCATGACCGCACCCAACTAAGGGGATGCAACCTCGGAAGGTGGTCACACGCTTCATGGGAAGTTCTGACCATGGAAAGAGGAGAACATATACAGGGGCAGCTGGCAGTCTGCCCTGTGCATCTTCAACACTCACACAGGAATCAAACTTCTTTCACTGGCATCTCCCAAATAAGGATTTTGCTGACCACTGAGGGGAAGTGAGCACAGGGCTAGTTATTGTGGAACATGCACCCTCTGCCTAGATAGGAACCAACTCCCCAACAGCCCCTTTGCATGGCCTTTGACCTCTTGTCTCCTGGCCTGCTCCCACCCATGCCAGGTCTAAGCACAAGGACCCCTACGTGATTCATGTCCTCTTAGCATCTGAGGCTGACGGGTGCATTACTCAGTCATCCATCCATCCATTCATTCAGACAGCAGGCATTAACTGAGTGCCTCCTAAGCCCCAGTTTCCATTCAGGGGTCCTGCCTCCTCCAAAACCTGTGCTCTGGGCTGGCCCTGCTCCACCCCCATACCTCACAGTCCCCCAGAGACTGGTTCAGGGTAGAAATGCCAGCCCAGCTGCTCCATGTGGGCTCAATATCAGGACTTTGGCAGGCAATGCCCAGTCAAAGATCTGAGCCTGGGAGGACGAGAAGCCAGGAGTGGCTGGGGGCCATTCATCAACCGTGCCAGCAACCGTACTGAGAGGGCACACGACAGAGAAGCAGACAGGTTTTAGAGACAGGGGAGACTGGTTTCTAGGCTGTCTGAGCCCCTTAAAGCAAGGTTTACCCCAGACAGGGATTTCCATGTGCAGCCAGCTTGCAGCTGGTTTTCTGTTGCCAGCAACCCAGAATGTTCTGGTTGGTAGGAAAGATGCAGAGGACAACCAGGAGGATGGAGGGGCAAAGATACAGTGTGGCAGGCTGCTGGCTCTAGTCTTGGGAGAGATCTCCACCCTACGCCTGTGCCCCCTTCTTCCCTCTCTTGACAGTGGCCCGGCTCACTGACACCAGGGAATCTCCAGAGGGAAGCAGGGTCTTCTCTTCCTCAAGCTGAGATCCATGTGTCAAAGACCCTGGGGTGGCAGGTGGTCAGAGAGGTAGGTGAGGGGCATGGCTTTTCTGACTCACCCAGGAAGAAACCAGGGAAGCAAGGGTTCAGTGATCTTGGGGGCCTGGTTTATTCTGAACATTAACCAACTACTGAGCATCGCCTGTGCTTAGCTCTCACATCTGGGTCACAGCCACAAGCCCAGAGTCCTGCTATATCCAGTGAAGGACACAAGTCAGGGCCCTTGTTCCAGCTGCCAGGCCACCTCGGCAGGTGCCCTGGGCAGTGTCCCCTCCTTACATGTCTCCTTGGAATTGGAGCTGACCTCTCTTCTCCACTAGATGTCCTCCCCCTCCCAGCGGCATGGAAGATTTAAGCTGGTTTTTTAAACCTCTTCCTTTTAAATCTCATCCTTACTGCAACCTAGCAGATAGCTGGAGAAAGCAGAGATAAAAATCGAGGAGCTCTGAGAGGTAGGCAGATGCCCAAAGACAGGAAGCAGTTCAAAATTGCATATGGAGCTGTAGGAAGGCTGTGCTCCAGGAGTGGGTAGGAGGGCTGAAGGGTTCCTTCAGCGACACTGACAGTCTGGAACCCCTTCCCTGTGCCGGCTCTGCTCTTGCCTGAGTGTGGGTAAAATTGTAATATATCCAGAATATCTCACCTGGTGTTAGTGCATCTGCATATCAACAGGCGTTCCTAAGGGCTGGAGAACATAGTTCGTTTTAATATCAGTGGGTAATTACCTGGACAACCGAGGGCTTATCTGAACCTGAGAGCTTGTGGGGAGGTCTTGCTTGCTTCTGCTGGAGCAGGAGAGAGAAACAGCCCCAGACCATGGTTTGTAAGCAATAAACGGGTTTTAAACTTTATTTCTCCCTTTGACTGATTTTGGTTTTGGAGATATTTTGCCCTGGATTTCCTCTCCCCGGAGTTACAGTGAGGATCCCTGCTTCGTGGGCAGCAATGTCATGGGAAAACTGGCCTTGTCAGAAACTGCACACACTCAGCTCCATGAGCTGTGATTTGTGTTCTGAAAAAACAGGATGCCATGAGGGCAAATGACAGGGGGCCTACAGGTCAGGAAGGCTTCCCTGAGCTTTACCTGAAAGCCGTGGGGTCAGGGGCTGACCACTGTGTCAGAGAGACATGGCTGATGGGCCCCAGTGTCTGTCCCCGCCTCCTTCTACAGCCCACATTGTAAATGCAGACCCTGGCAAACTTATAAACTACATTTCCCAGACTCCTTTGCAACAAGGTTCAAATTGGGTTCCACTAAGCAGGTGCACGTGTGTGATTTGGAAGGTAAATCCAGGGCCTTTGGGGTTTTTCTGCTGGTTAGTGTGGTCATGGAGATGCTGGGTATCTCTGCAGTGACACTCCAGAGCCCAGGCTCCAGTTTCATGGGGGTTGGCCAGAAGCTCTAGCAACTGAAGTGCCTGCCCTCTAATCCCTGGATCACAGCCAAAATGCTATGTTCCCAGACAAGTAATTCCAATGGCCTCCTCATGATTCCCTACACCCTGAGGTAGCAGAGTTGGGACTATCCTGCCACCTTTTCTGGAATCATCCTGGAGGTTCAGCCTAGACCCCACCAGCCCCTCCAAAGGTTTTGTAGCACCCAAATACCTGGATTCAATCTCCTCCTGCTTGAAACACCTAGAGTGACTTCTTTTTTCCTACAACCAAGACATCAGGCAAAGAAGGAACAAAAGAATGTTCCAGATGAAGCAACTGTCATGGGTGTAGTAGACTAACTGGAGAAGGGAAGGGATGGGTAGGCAGCCCAGCTAGGAGTTGCTGCACCATGTGATGAGCACCTAAACGAACAGGGATGACAGGATGGAGCAGAAGGGAAGGGAGGGGGTGAAGAATAAGTCAGACTTTGTCACTGATTATCTGTGGGCATGAAGAATGACCTTGAGACCTCCCACCCGGGTGGCTGGGACCAATGAGGGAGTAAACAGGGCAGTGTGGTACAGTGGGAAAGAATTAGGGAAACAAAGGTAAGACAGACAAGATCCCTGACCTCATGTGGCTTATATTCCAGCAAGGGACACAGATGAAAAGGGGATAAAATAATTTCCCAAAGTGACAAGTGCTGAAAAGGGGGGTGATATTAGAATAAAAAAGGATAGGTTGGTCAGGAGAGGCCTCTCAGAGAAGGTGACCACAGAGCTGAGAACTGAAGGATGAGGAGACCACTGTTGCAAGGTCTTTGGGAAGGACATCCCAGGAAGAGGGAACAGCCACTGCAAAGTTCTCAGTGCAGGAAGGTGGTCAGCACGTTCAGGGAGTACCCGGAGGCAGGATGGATGCAAACAGAGGGAGCAGCGGAAGAAGGGAGTGGAACAGGTCTGGAGGAGGGCTGGAGAGCAGGTGAAACTCCCAGTCAGCCAGGTCCTTTGATTAACCAGAACATTCCACCCTCCATGTTCAACTTTTAGTGCCATTAACACAGCAAATGAGTGAATAATGTGGCAAACCCCAGATGTCCTAAATTCCAGTTCCCCAAAAGGACAGGAACCATGCACCCTGGCCACCAGGGGCCAGACAAATAGCACAAAAGATGAGTAGCAGGAGAGGAGACCAGAATCAAATAAAGACAGGAACCTATGGCTGCCAAACACCAGACCGGGAGAGTTAAACAGGGATTCAGGGATGATAGGGAGAGACAGGTAAGGACGGGAGTTAAGGGAGAAAACTTCCAGAGGAGTCCAGGTCAGATTCTAGGTCAAGCAGGACTTTTCTGGTGACAAGTGATCTACCTCGAACTAGCTTAACTAAAGTGAGCAGTAGTGATATAAATAGCTAAAAAGCCCAGATGTGGATTCAGCCCAAATTACGATGGATTCTGAACATCATCCCGGTCACCCTGCATTTGCAGCATGCCTCACCTCTGATGGCTTCACTTTCCTCCTGGTTTAGAAATGGCTGCAGGAGTTCCAGCTCTTACATCTGCTCATCCTCAAGGCCATCAGGAATCGGAAATGCCTCTGGTTGACTTCGGATCATGACCATCTCTGAGCCCATTGCTGTGGGCAAGGGAAAGCAAGGCACTGACTAGCTCTGGCTGAGGTGACCCACCTCCAGAGCCAGATGGCACGGATGGGCAAATCACATGGACCAAGAGTGGGGGAGGGGTAAATCCCAGAGGCAATGGGGTGAGTTACCAAAAGAAGAGGGAATGAATGCTGGGCCACCAAGGACTTCCATCAAAGAGCCACCAAAGCTGTAATACTGCTCCTGGGGTAACAATTATCATGCCCTGAGCACTGGCGCCTGGTCAGAACTACGGTACAGGTCTGAGTACCTTACCTGTGTTCCTCGGTCAGTCCTTGTAACCACCCTTAAGACTGGTGTGCTTCAGTCTCTCATGCAACAGTCGTCCATCAAGCATCTGCTAAGGACTGGGCTTCGTTAAGTTCTCAGTGCAGGAAGGTGGTCAGCACGTTCAGGGAGTACCCGGAGGCAGGATGGATGCAAACAGAGGGAGCAGCGGAAGAAGGGAGTGGAACAGGTCTGGAGGAGGGCTGGAGAGCAGGTGAAACTCCCAGTCAGCCAGGTCCTTTGATTAAACAGAACATTCCACCCTCCATGTTCAACTTTTAGTGCCATTAACACAGCAAATGAGTGAATAATGTGGCAAACCCCAGATGTCCTAAATTCCAGTTCCCCAAAAGGACAGGAACCATGCACCCTGGCCACCAGGGGCCAGACAAATAGCACAAAAGATGAGTAGCAGGAGAGGAGACCAGAATCAAATAAAGACAGGAACCTATGGCTGCCAAACACCAGACCGGGAGAGTTAAACAGGGATTCAGGGATGATAGGGAGAGACAGGTAAGGACGGGAGTTAAGGGAGAAAACTTCCAGAGGAGTCCAGGTCAGATTCTAGGTCAAGCAGGACTTTTCTGGTGACAAGTGATCTACCTCGAACTAGCTTAACTAAAGTGAGCAGTAGTGATATAAATAGCTAAAAAGCCCAGATGTGGATTCAGCCCAAATTACGATGGATTCTGAACATCATCCCGGTCACCCTGCATTTGCAGCATGCCTCACCTCTGATGGCTTCACTTTCCTCCTGGTTTAGAAATGGCTGCAGGAGTTCCAGCTCTTACATCTGCTCATCCTCAAGGCCATCAGGAATCGGAAATGCCTCTGGTTGACTTCGGATCATGACCATCTCTGAGCCCATTGCTGTGGGCAAGGGAAAGCAAGGCACTGACTAGCTCTGGCTGAGGTGACCCACCTCCAGAGCCAGATGGCACGGATGGGCAAATCACATGGACCAAGAGTGGGGGAGGGGTAAATCCCAGAGGCAATGGGGTGAGTTACCAAAAGAAGAGGAAATGAATGCTGGGCCACCAAGGACTTCCATCAAAGAGCCACCAAAGCTGTAATACTGCTCCTGGGGTAACAATTATCATGCCCTGAGCACTGGCGCCTGGTCAGAACTACGGTACAGGTCTGAGTACCTTACCTGTGTTCCTCGGTCAGTCCTTGTAACCACCCTTAAGACTGGTGTGCTTCAGTCTCTCATGCAACAGTCGTCCATCAAGCATCTGCTAAGGACTGGGCTTCGTTCTAGGCATCGGGGTCACGGCTGTGAGTAAAGCAGCAGGCGTTCCCCTGACATTCCAGCAAGGGGAAGGCGCTACAGAGGCCAAGTCCAGGAAGGCGGGACGTGTCTGGGGAACAGTGAAGCAGGGAGGGGAGGCTTGAAGGAAGAAGGTGACATTTAAGTAGAACCTTGGGGATACCTGAGGTGAGCACCTTCCAGGAAAAGAAAGCAGCCATTGCAAAGCCCTGCAACTAGTGGGGGTGGGTGGGTGGGGGGAGGCAAGGGGGAGTGGTGGAGGGGGGCGGAAAGGACACGGGTAGGAGGGCTCTCCCTCTGAGCACCGTGGGAGCCTTCGGAGTGTTTTGAGCAAAGGGCTACTTTGGTTTGAATAGGGTTCTGCCTCCTGCCCTGTGGAAAGGAGGTTGCGGTTGGGACAAGAGGGGTCCAGGCAGGAGGTGGGGGATTCCTAGGGAGGGCTGGGACTGGGTGGCAGCAGGGGGTCGGGCAGAGGGGCCAGATTCAGGATGCACTGTGAAGGTATAGGTTACAGGACTTGCCGACAGAGTGGACGGGGGCCAAGGGAAAGACCTCCTCATACACAGATGAGAAAACCAGGGCCCAGGAGCTCAAAAACCTTGCTCTGGACTCTGAGTCAGCTTGCAGGCTGTGTGCAACCCTGGCACCTACCCGGCTGTGGGGGCACCCAGAGGAAGGGGCTGCCTGTTTCTAATTACTGGCGGTGGCTCTGCCTGTCTGTGACCACCGAGGTCTGCTGCCTGACCCCACCGAGGACAGCAGCTGGGGACTGAGGAATGGAGGTGGCCCAGGCTCTCTGGAGAGAAACATGAGGGACGGAAAGCAGAGGCTGGCGTGTTTTTCAGGAAGGAAATCTTCGCCGCTGTAACAGTCTGGGAGTCTCGGCTCAGCCCGGCGGTCCGGCCCAGCCAGGAAGCGCCCCCTCCCACCACCCTCCCTGGTCCCCGAGGCAAACACTTATGAGGACAGGAAGGGGAGAGGTGAGGTGAGCATCAAAGCAGCTGTGGAATTCGGGGGCGGGCCGAGTAAGGGGGTCCTTGCCATCTCAAGTGCTGATGGTGACTTCCAAGTCCCCAAATTGTGAGTGGGCTGGAGGGGTGGGTGGGGTGGGGGCGGGGCCGCCGGGCAGCCAGCCACCTGCACAATGCATTACCCGGCCGGAATTCCTGTAGGACGCTTTGTTCTCAGATGGCAGCCCAGCTAGGGCCATCAGGCCTGTGGGATGGCTGGGGTGGCAGACCAAAACAAGGCCTCAGGACGCCCTCAGTGGGCCACGGGGCTCGGCACTGCCCCACAGGGCCTGCCCACCCTCCTCCAGGCACCCTCCACCCACTGGCGCCACCACCCCACCTTGGTCCCCCGCCCTGGAGCCGCCTGCAAACTGGGCTCGGTCCAGCTGGACAGGCTGTATTAACTCTAGCTGGTGGGCTTCACTGAGGCTGCCCCAGTTCCCTGCAGCCATGCCCACTGTCTGTAACAAAGACCACCTGTCCTTTGTCCCCTGTCCATTCCACACCCCCATGCCCACATGACAACCTGCTGGGCACTGAGCAGGAGGCATGCCCTGGATGGTTCACACAGGAAATCTGCACACCTGCCCCAGTCTCCAGCAGGCTGTGTGACATCAGGAAAACAACCTAACCTCTCTGTCCTTCAACTCCCTCCACGTTAAGGGGCTGGGGGATGGGGATGGTGCTTTAGGCTCCTGCATAGATGCAGTAATACAAGGGCATCCACCAGAGGAGAAACATTCAACTTCAGGGAACTGATTCTGAGTTATGCGATCAGAAAAATCTGGAAGATCATGCTAATTTCAGTAGTGAGCTCTGGTGTTCCTTCGATTTGTTGGCGTTTTTTAAATCAAGCACACAGAGCACTTACTCTGTGCTGGGCACTGCTCTAGCACATCACCAGTATGAAGGTGCCGGCTGTAGCCCCATTTCCACCACTTAGCAAAGGAGGAGACAGAAGCAGGGACAGGCGGACAGGCTGTCCAGAGGGGGAAAGCTGCAGAACTGGGGCTAACGCTGGTGTTCCGGCTCCAGGCTCCGCGCTCAGACACTGCCTCCCACAGCCAAGTTCTTCAGCCGACCTTTCCCCTGCTAACCTGAAAGGAGTAAGTTTCCTGCCTTTAAGAAGAGAGGTTATTCTTGAGAACGGGATGAGGGGGCAGTATGCATGTGTGTGTGTGTATAAATGTGCTTGTGTGAGAGTGTGAATGTGTGAGTGTGAGTCATGTTAGGGAGTGTGTGTGTTCGGTGACTGTTTTTGGGGCGTGTATCTGTGGCTGTGCATGTGCAGTGTGTGAGGTGTGTGAGTATGTTGTGCATGTACTGTGCATGTGTGTACGACAGCCTGGGGAACTCCTGAGAAGAGTGGGCCAGGAAAGAGGGAGCGAGGCAGGGGAGAAACTTTGGGATGCGCCTGAAAAAATTAAAGAGCGATTAGTCAAAGTTGAATTGTTTTTCTAAACTCCTAATGCAAACAACATGTGGGGCAGCGCCCATATGGTGCCCGGGAGCCCCTGACAGAGTCCTCAGGAAACAGGTGCTCTTGGAATGTTTCCTGCCGCCAAGCTGTGGCGGGTGAGCGAGGTCGCCATGATCTCTATTACCGTCAGCCAGGACCAGCTGCAGCCCCATCCAGCTGGGTGGAAACCCACGGCCACCGGTCACCGCCATGCAGGCCTCAGCTGATCTAGCCCACACAGCTTTGCCATGCCCGGCTTCACCAGCCAGGGTGAGTGTGTCCCTGGGCCAGGGGTGGGGTGTGGGGAAGCAATGGTCTGTTGACTCTGTGGAATTGCCAGCAAGGAGGTTATGAGCATAATTAATCTGGAAAGCTATTGCCAATTATCCTCCCAAAGTATGGTACCAACGTATAGTACCACCAGTTGTACAAGCTAGAGAGATTGTTTCTCCACACCTTCTACCAGTGAGGAGTATTCTCAATCTTTTTCACCTCTGCCAGGTCTGATGGAGGAAGATGATATCCTCTAAGGGAAGTATTTTAAACATAAGAGGGACACAATTATGCCCATTTTAGGAAGATCATAATGGAAGCTAAGTTGATGATAGACTGGGGTACAGTTAAGATTATGTTCAATCACCAAAAAAAAAACAACCTTACCTCAGTGACTTAAACAAATAGGAATTAACTTTTGTCACATAATGAGAAATTCAGTGTCATTCAGTGACTGAAGCATGCCAGGGCTCAAATCTCTGTGATTCTCTTTCCTCGTGGTCACAAGATAGCTGCTGTAGCTCCAGCCGTTAGATCCACATTCAAGATAAGGAGAAAGAGGAAAGAGGAAGGATTGCACCAGCTGAGTCCATCTCTTTTTATCAGGAAAGAAAGGCCTTCCTCAAAGTCACCCCAGCAGATATCTGCTAATATATCATAGGCAAAAAGAGAGTCACATGCCATCTCGGGGTATAATAGGATACCTGAGGAAGTATTTGGCTTTCTAGCCTCCACAGTAGAAGGCCGCAAGAGAGCAGAGAGTTGGGGATGGGTGTTGGGCAACTGGCCAACAACGTTTGCCACCACTGGTGCAGGCACACCAGCCTCTGTGGATCAGCCTGGACCCTGCCCCACCTGGCCCCACCCAGGTGGGTCTCCAGCCACCCACAGCCAGCTATGCTCCATCCCAGAACCAGAGGTGCTCAGCCTGGAACGGTACTGGGAGCTTTCTTTCAGTTCAAGGTGGGACTCAAAAATTGCCTCTAAGCTTCTGGTGAGGGTTACAAGGCAACTTCCTACCCTGGTATGGGGGCCAGTCAGCTGCATCTCAGGCTTCTAGAACATT